GTCGCCGCGGGAGGTGTATATAATTGAAATTATGACAGAAAGAACGTTGATGCCTTTCGCGTAATATTTTATGTATCCATGGGGGAACAACACGAGCACGCTTCACTCCTATGTACAACGTGTAAAATTTAATTATCGGATATCCCGATATCCTCCGGGGGAGTTCAATTTATCTCGTGTACAGAGAGCCTCGAGTATTTGCGGCACGTTCAGGTGGGTTACCTTTGACATTCGAGAAGCGATTTATAATTAAATGTCTTTGTAACGTTCCACGGAGATCCCGTGTCTCGGGGAACGCTTTTTATTAGCGGGAATCCATGGGAATTTCAGAGATGGTGGAGCTATTCAGACACGTTTATTAATCTTGCGTTTGTTACGATGGGTGAAAAGGTTATATTTTTGCAGTGGAGTGAATTTGTTGATAATACGGTTGAATACGGATCGGTAAATTGTAAATGGTTTTATTTCTCTGTTGAGTGGATTTGTTTATTTCTCTACTTTCGGCGGCTAATCTCATTTCTTAGCACAAAAGCAGGCCTGTAAATTATTCCTACGTTAATTATAAATGGTTTCCTTTTTCCGTAAAGAGAATTTACTGCTTTCTCTATTTTAAATTTCATTTCACTATTTAGCACAAAAGGAGGTGCTCTATTATAAATTATAAACTAAAATAAAGAATGTTATTATATCACACTTGTATTGCTTCTTTATTAATGAAAATAAATCGTGCTCATCGGTAATTAAAAATTTCAATAACTAAATATCGAAGACACTTTTGTCGGCGACTTCAAAGTGTCGATCATAGTCGATGAAATTTTTGTTAGTAATTTCACTGTACATGCTGCAAGTGCTGGAATTTAAAGGTCCTCGCAGAATTCTTAACGAAAATTTTTAATCAAATTATGACACACGCTAAATAGAAGTGTGCTTGTTACAAAGGACTAGCCGGAAAAAATAAAGTTCTTGAAACGCTGGAGAAGGCTTTTTGTGCTGTTCACTACGACTGGTGGAAACGACGCGTGCGTCCAAGTGGAAAATGTTTTTGGCGCGTTTCGACCTGACCTCGACACATTTAGTCATCCTTTGCTGTTTGTCTGGCCGGCGAATATGCAAGTGAACGCGTGAAACGCGGTGGAAACGACGTGTAGCACGGTTATCCTTTACTACTTGGAACTTCTATCGCGCGTTTCTCTCGTTACATTGCTTCGAACATGGTTTTACTTCTCTATTTGTGCCGGCGTGTGCGCATTGTAACATTTCACACGTTGTAACAAAGTTTCGCTGTGAAACGTGTGCAGGTAATTGTGTTGCTTTATCGTTACGAGTGCGAAATGATAATTTATGACAAATGCAATTTGAAAAGAAAAAAAGGAACCAGAATTTCCTAACTCCGCCATTTTTACCGATTAAACTAAAATTTGTGCTGGAAAAAGGCGAATCTGTAAGGATAAAGATTGAATATTTTTAACCCTTTGCACTCCTTCGTCGAGTCACACTCGACATTTTTACGAAATATGTTTTTTACACTTAGATAAGCAACGTTACATGTATATGACCCTTTTTTGTGAAAAAAAAGTGCAATTGTTACGGAAGAGTGTCATATACAGGTTGTCCCAGGTCGGTATATTCTACGGGTCGAAATAAAAAAAAAATGTTATACAAACATAGGTCTTTTAGAGCTTCGTTGAAAAGTTACGGTCGTAATACGAAATGAGGGAAACAATAGCAGATTCACGGTTACTGCGATGTAATACAGAAGTAGATCAATATTCGTTCTCGCCTCGTCCTCGAGAAAGATGTTAATGAAGCGATTAGAAAAAAGGGAGGCACTCAAAAATAGCTTGGACTGATCGTACCTGTCGTAAAGCCGAAAGGATAACGGTTTAGGCTTATTGGGGAGGCGACCATTGTCACGTTCGGTACCGAACACTTTTCGAATAAAACACTTAAAATAAGACGGAGTTATTGTAAAGAAAATGAAAAAAGAACTCAGAGTGCAGAGGGTTAGAAAGCTAAACATCGTCTTCAGCAGCTCATTTGAATAATTTTAAGGAGCGTTGTTTTTGTTTTGAATTAAAATTGTATACATGAAAAACACTATTTTCGAAAGTTCGTCGTTTGTATTAATTCACTGGAGACACTGTTGCACGGGAAAATTAATTAGACTGGTTAGATAGTTTATCAATATGTTGGATCGGTTAAGCGGCAATAGAGGCCCTTAAAAACCACCCTGATCGCTGGCACCTGTGCCTCTTTTGTGAACGAGACAATCCGGGATCCCTCAAGTGATGTTCATGGGACATCATGATCCGTAGGGTCGGTTTAATGGGTGTCCCCGTGGTGCAGTCACGTGGCCTATATATACATATATATATCTATCTCTATAGCGTATATAAGTGCGGTTACCTACACCGTATGGGGTGACATGCCATTAATAGTATAGTGAATGGTCGAATGACGTCATTTGAATGATTTACACGGAGGCTTTAGAATCGACTTAATTACAAAGTGTCGCGTGTGTGTCTGGAGAAATGTAACCGTTGAACAATAGGAACAGAAGCTGTTTTATACAACAGAGTATATACTTTGTGTCTGATATGCGAGAGTATCGGTTGTCCGCGTGCATACGAAATAGCCTTTTAGCCTTTTTAGAAGTGTAATAAGAAATAGAGTAAGTTTTTCTGTATTTAAATATTGATAGTTCTGTTCGGGATCATCGTCACAACTCTAAGCCTTGGAGTCTAAGGCATCCTTTACTCAAATCACAAAAAATTTGCTATCCCAGAAACTTTTTGCAAGGGAAATCGAATGTCTCTAATTTTCAGTCATTTTGTCCATCGCTCAAATTACAAATAAATCAGTGGTGCACGTGGCAAAGCTCTTATTTCATTTCTTCCAGAAAATTGAAAAGGAAGAAATATTAAATAACGAATACAGAATGTCTCCACTGTTCCCAGTCTAAATACTAATCGCACTAAAGAAACCGTGTAGCACTGCTGAAGACTCTCGTCAAACAGCGTACGCCACATCCATACATAATTATTTCACGAAACCAAAGGGGACATCAAAAGCCATGGAAAATGGTATAAAACAGCAGAAAAAAGGGGACAGAGGGAACGGAGGAGCGTGCAGCGGTAGTTGTCCCTGTGGAATGGTCACGTGGCCTATATACCATGGGAAGCCGTAGGGGTTGGTCGTGTACGGCAATGGGTAGCACATGACGGTGTCCCATAAATAGTCGTCCGGACGCCGGAATTTCCATTATATCGCGTTCCCGTACGTAGTCTCCATAAACAATATCATCGAAGTCCGCGCCGAAATGGCGTTCCCCATTAGGTGTTTGCCTGCAATATTTATTACGGACACGGTCATTGTGATACGCAGGATTTATGCGGGGGTTTCTGCTGAAAATCTGCAGGACGCTTGAAAGAGCACCGAAGAGAGAGAAAACCAGAGAGAGCGAGTGGGAAGGAAGTTGGAAAATAGTTGAACAAATTCCTGTGCTTCGTCCGTTGGAACCAGCGTTAACATCGCGAAACACTCGATCTTCGAGTTCGTTCCAACGAACCTGCACTCGATATTTTATCCCGAGCTTGCGCGGCAATCCTCGCTGCGCGGTAGTTTCAGCGATAGTTGTAATCGCGTTCAATTAACAGGCTGGCCAGAGTGCACGTAATAGGACGGTATATTTCAAAGTTCCCTTGCAAATGCGCAAACCTGTCGTTCACGTGAATTGTGCGATATTATTCACGTTTCACCTCTGTCCACGCTCACGCGCACGAATTTGTTACTTCTCCGCTTTTAATGGATTCTGCGCGAGCAAATTGGAACGATATCTTTTCTCTCGATGTTTACAATACGCTGCTTTTGTCTCGTCGATCTTTTATTTAATATTGAAACGCGAAGTTGGTGTACTTTTTACGAACGTAGGAAAAAAGAGACGGTCTTTTATGCGACATGTGTGTCGTGAAATAAAACAGGGTGTATTTACGTGACGTGGGGGAGAAAGGGGAACGAGTCGTTCGTTGTCAGACACAATTTCACGATTATACATAGTGTACAGCTCCTGTAAATGAAATAAATAAATAATTCACGAATTGTATCTTTGTGCGATCTTTCTCTGCTGTTTCGTGTTGGTAGTTTCTAGATATTTCAGTTCATTTTTAATATTCGTTCGCTTTGTGTTGTTAATCTTCGATTAGGAGATATTCTGTATGAAAATTGTTTTCTCTCGATATAAATCGTTGGAGACAGTTTTATTGGACATTCGCATGATGGAAGGAACTCGACGCGCAATAGTACAGCCAAGTGTTTCAAGATACCATTCCGACCGCAGGTGTTGATGCTCTTGGCTCAGTTGGTTGTCAGCCGAATATTTCATGAGCTGAACGTGTAAGTTCTGCGTCACCCTTCTTGAATCGTTCATTTTACGAGAGTGGTCTCGATAAATATGCCATGCAATTACACTTCTGAAATTATCATCATTTCTACTTACCTTTCTATAATATTTCCTACCAACTTTTACCGTATATTCAACTATTAAATTCATATTTCACGCGATAGAAGTTCATTCTCTTTAACATTGCATTATCCTACTCCTCGTTATAGAAAGTGAAACAAGAGGCGCATAGTCCACAGTCACGTGGGTTCTCCGTTAATTCTAAAAAGCAACTCTGGTAGCAACTAAAATGGAGCTGAAAAGCAACTGAAAGGGCTATTTATACCGTCAGCATGAATAGAGAAAGTTTGCAAGCACAGAAGCGCGCAAAAGCGCGAAACAAGCTTGGCGTATGAGAATTAGGCTTATCGCGTTATAAGCGAAAAATCATTTTATCACGTTATAAATATTTATCCTTGTACGTCGAAGGCGTTACACGCGTGTACCTATTTAGACGAAGATAATTTCATTCGTTCCGCGCGTATTAATTGGAGAGCGAAACTAAATTACAGGTGCGCCAGGTGTATCGAGACGCAGCGTTGCACGGAAGTTCACGGTTTGTTTAACAGTTGCCGTGATCCACCATCCGAATTTCCCCTTGATTAACGTATGCTCCCAGTTTGGACTTGAGCTCCTTCAACACCGGCAAAGGCAGGCTCCTCTCACGGGACCAAATCATGGCGAACTTGTATCCCTGATGGCGAGACGTGCTCTCCGAACAGACTAGCATCCCGAGGACCGTGTTGTACCTCGCGAACACTATAACGTGTCGAAAGGGTCCTGGGAATATAAAATTTCAAAGTTGCTCAACTTTGCCTGATTTGCCGAACTGTCGTGTCGTTACACACAGGGTACAAAGTTAAGGCGCTCTTAGGAAAAAGAACGGAGAAGGCTGATCGGGTTAACGCGACGGATTACGCGGCGAACTTGAACCGATCGAACGGCGTTCACTTTGTACAGGGCCAATATACCGATAACAAGCGGTTGGAAATATTAGTTCGCGGCAAGGTTCGCAAAGGTCTGGGTTGACTTGGTCGAAGGTGTTTTATTTAGAATTTATCACTTGGAAACTCGTTTGCAGAGTATTTCGATTAGGCTTGGAAAAGGTCAGGGGATGTTTATTTCGAAGCTTAGTGTTCTTTATCGTTTCAGGGTTAAATTTAGGGTTGAACGGTTGTGTTTGCAGATGTATTTCACGCTTAGAGAAAGGTTTACTTGTTTTTCAAGTTAGACAAATTTACCCAATTTTCTTCTCGATCCTTCGAATTGCCAAGTTCCAACGACGTTCCTTCCGTTGGCTGTTGCATTCACGTTGACAGCGATTGGAACGTTGTTCCTGTAACTGAGGGCCGTGTATTTCATCGTGAACGAGTCGAGGTTTGTTTGTCTGACCAGGAACTGTCCGCATCTACTTAAACTTTCGTTGATCGGTGTCCCAGCTACGAAAAACCATTCTCCTGAAAACTGACGTGGAAATTAAATTTTGTTTTTTTTTAACTTGTTTACAAGTGTTTGACGAGGTTCGAAGTTTTTACGAGAATTATTGGGTGGTGTTTCTATTTTATAGCGATATTTTGTCGTCGATTTCCCGTTCTACGCGCGATACCCGCGTAGATTTGAATTAAATTCGCGCGCACGCAGGCGAGTTTGAAAATTAATGTGTACGATTGTGCGTAACGGGCCAATATTGACAATCCTCGGCCATGAGTGTGCCAGCTCACGATCCGTTGAGCTAACGCTTCCCGAATTTACGCGTGTCGACATAGCTGCGTCATGCTGCGGGTATCGCACGGCTGACGGCGTTACGCGTTTCCAACCAACGACTCTTATGGATGCGATTATGCGAAGGCAATCGTGTTTCTGTTTGCACACGACGGCAAACAGGCTGCTTAAAATAATTAGAGGATCGTCTAATCGTATTCTGGAGGCAATCAGTATTCTGAGAACTACTTGTGTGTTATGTAGGTTAAATATTTAGCAAACGTTGTGCGGCACGTTGCACGGAATTCTCTGTATTCGAAGATTACGTGCATTGTAACGTGTGCAAAAGTTCGTTTGAATTTTTGCAATTCAGTTTACTCGAAAGAAATTTCGACGATTTTCTTGTAACAACGAATTTTACAATTTTCAAAATTTTATTTTTTAAAGCAATGTCTAAATTCTAGTCTGTTACCTATACAAAATTGTCCACTCTACTATCGCACCTATTTTCGTCTAATATTTTCCACCCATTTTCACATGTACAGTATGTAACAAAAATTTCTAGACTCAGATTGCAGAAATGTTTGGTTTACATATTGACATTACTTTTTAAATTAGGCAGCCAGATGACGTATCGTCACTCTGCACGATTGTCACCTTTACTGTCTTCCGTTGAACGACAATTAATTGCTAAACTCAAACTCTGGGAACTTTTGTCATCTACTGTATTACACCGTTCTTCACCTTTTTCACGTACAGGCTGAGCCATGTAACGTGATCACCTTGAATTATTCTGTGGTTAGTAGACCGATCTAAATTGGGTCTTTTTTGACCCGAGGACCTTAACACGTTCGCTACCAAGCGTCACACACAACAATTCCCACGATAAATCGTATTATCTACGTGTAAAACATCACACAAAATGCACAGTTTGAGACTTTAATAAATATCATGCAAAGTGTTATGTAAAACTGACAAAAATATGGGTATTAACACTAGGTTTACGGGACGCATTCGAATTTCACTTGGAAAATTACAGAAACCGTTTACATTTCTCTCCTACCACTTATGCTTATTATAAATTTTCTACAAATATACAATACCACACTTTCGTTTATAAGTTAATAGTGTATAATACGTTGTTTTTAAATAAAATAAGTTACTTTCTAAAAAACCTATGCGTTCACTCGTCAATTTGACGCGTGTCCGTAAAGATAGGTACACTACCGGTCACCTCCTACTTTTCATCAATATTAAATCTGCTGCTAATTTTTTATAGATTTGAAGTTTATCTCAATTCCACTTATCAAATTATATTCGAATGATAAAAAATTCTTAAAGTCGCTGACTTTTTTCTGGAAATTTTTGTGTAAATTGCAATGCTCGGTGATTCCAAAAGATAACTAACAACATATTAACCCTTTCGACTCGACGGCGTTTGCAGTAGTTCGCTTCCTACGGCTGACGTGAAATTTAATAGTCCGTTCACAACGGCCGACTTGAAATCGAGCCCTAAACATATCGAATTGTTTACAAAGTATTTGAGTCTTTGACAATATTGTGATTTTAATATACCATATTCAGTACTGTACTGAATAATTAAGAAAGGGAAGCGGTGACGCATACTTAGAGTCGGTACGCGGTACCGATGTCGGGTCGAAAGGGTTAAGCAAAATATAGAGCGGCAATGGGTGAAATCTCACCCGAGGATCTCTTGCCTAACTATTTCTAAGGGACGTACGAGCGTTAAGAACGTAAATCTTCAACAAAACCCTGGTAACCACGTGAAAAGTGTACAATCTCTCCCTACATCTCATTTCCCACACGACTTCTTTGTACCACGAAGTCAACACCTCCGTCCACGTTACTTTCCACACAAATTACCACGGAATCGATCCGAACGAAGCACTACCTGATTCAAGTCCAGTGGCTGTCCAATATCCGGGGAACACGGTGTGCAGCAGGATATCAAACACACGGTGGAAATGAACACCGGAAGTATATGGCGCGCTCGCATTTTCCACACTGTACACGAAGAGATTTCACGCACTGGCTGGCTCTCCGTCTGTCCTCTGGAACGCGTACCGTATACTGGGTTATATTGAAACCGTAAACGCGGATTCTGACGGGATTCCAGTTCGTTATCTACGATGCATTACTCATGGGGGTTTGTCGACGCCGACGTCGAACGTATACATCGACGCGCGGTCTGTAAACGCGTGCTCGTGCTTAAATACCCGCGGTCCTACTGTTTACCGACCCTCCTATTTATGTACACGCGCGTCTCTCTGTAAAGCACATTTGTCTTCCCTCGTTCGGACGGCGCGCGGCTTCTTGAGAATTACGACGTGAAATCGAGCTGTACTCTCTGTGTATGTATATCGGCGGAATTTACGCTGGGAAATTGAACACCGCAGAGTGTGGTAAATTGTGATTGAAATAGCGAAATATCGCTGCGTGTGTGTATACACGTACGTATGTTTAGGACACGTGTAAATACGATACGACGAATGGTCCGGATCGTATCGATACGATAGCCTGTGTTATGACGAGATGCGTCGAAATTGTGTTCGACGTTAAATATTATGCAGGAATTGTACGAGAATTTTTGGTTCGATTTAACCGATCGGTGCGTCGGTATATTGGTAATTTAGCTCGGTGGAATTCCTGTGTCAGTTTTAATTACGTTCATTTGTAGGATTATTTAAAATTGAGTAAATAATTTGTCTAGGCGTGAGCAATTTAACAATTTGTAGTGTGAAAGAGAGTCTTTCGTGTATGCTCACTTCAAACGTCAACGTTTGTTGAAATTGAATACTGGAATGTGGTGAAAGAATGATGTCACGAGTATACATAACACTTAAACTTTAAATTTATTCTACAACTGTTGAATTAGAAAAACGCGTTAGACTGGTGATAATAATTTCTGTGTTGAATAGCTGATAGTTTTTTAGAATCTGTCGTCCTTTGAAGGAATTCGTGCTTAAATAATAAGTGCGGTCATGTGAAAATGGGAATGACGATGTCTGATTGGTGGTTTTAATTTGGTAGGGGAAGCCGCCGTGACCCTCAGGTACTGCAAGTACCTTCGAGTGGCATGTGTCGGATTTTCCCCATGCCTTAACCGTAGCAGGTAATATTTTATTAGTTGCCCTGACTCGGCCAAGGTAAATGAAAATTAACACGGCCGAGGTAAAATTCTTAATCCTACTACAAAAGGGGCAATCGTCGCTATACATTCAAAGAAGGTGAAATATGCACAATGGTTTTACTTATAATTAGTTTTACGCCTTAACATAATTGCTTTTAGCCCCGTATCGCAATCGGGTCCCATTTTCAACAAAATAGCCGGCGCTTTAAGTGTTGAGAAGCTACATTTAGAATATCATTCACCTCGGATAATTCTCGTCTGGTGCAGACGAAAATGTTAGTTCTAAAGAAGTTCCATCGATGAAGTGGTTAGCCTGAAAGTGGTTCCATTGTTCGAAAGCGATAACCTATCCGCTACCAACTGATAGTCGTAAATCAGAGCAGTCGGGAACCCGTTGAAATTAATCCTTTAATCTCCGTTTGCTAAATGATTCCGCAAGATCTCCAGGCCTACTATCTGTCCTCTTTGTTTGCCGAGGAGTGCATAAACCGCGTTTACCTTCGCTACGGTAACTGTTTACAGTATATACCAGGGAAAGTTATAACTGCACACCGGTTTACGGACGATAATGCGGATTTACGAGGCGTACACCCTCGCGATCCACTGTTCCGCTGGTTCGTCGTCAATTCTGTTTCGATAGGTGTTTATGTAGCTCGACAACTGAGAGACCGTGGAGGAACTATGGAATAGAGCTCGGCTAAGAATTGTAGTTCAGCCCGTCGCGATATTTTCAGCGATAGTAACGATATTCGTTTATTTCGATTGTATACTTTTTATTTCAGTCAATTCGTACATTTTGAGTCTTTGGGTCTTTTCTGACCCATTGGTTTTCATTCTTTTAATAATATTTGCTGTTATCGAGTTTGTGTTCCTTTGATATCATGTTGAAAGTTTATTAAACTAGTTTAAAAAAATCGTTACAATAAGGTCTTTGGGTCCTTTTTGACCCGAGTGTAGTCGAACGAAAAATCGCACTAAGGTTAAAATATGCAAAAAAATTTGTTATCGTAAATGATAATAATCTGGAATTGAAAACAATATAAATACGATATAATACGAATTAAATGGTCGAATGCATTGTATTCGAGTATATTATTAAAGAAATGATAGACGAATATTTTTGAAATGCTATAAATGATACCAATTTGGAATTGAAAAGCATCGAATACGGTATAATACGAATGAAATGATCTATTGTATTGTTTTGAAATAAAGAATTGCTCAATTACAAGTGAAGTCGTAAAATTGGGAGATTTCACGAAACTTAATCTCGACTGTGGAGAATTCCCGTGTCGTCGAAAGTTTATTGAATCGTTTTGTCGGTCTTTTGTTTCCGGCACGCGATCTTTCTTCGAGGGGCTGTTCGAGCGGACAGCGTTACGGTCCAGTTTAATTTATTTGCCGTCATTATTACGTCGTGATTAAACCGACCGTCTCGATTGTCCGGGGGGATTCCTCTCTGCGGGGGTCTAACTTTCGGTTTAATTAAAAAAACGTGATCACCGTTTTCAGAAGTCCCTTGGTTATTCCCCTTCCTGTGCACGCTCTTTGTACTCGTAGGAATCCCTTTCGAGGTTTTCCCGGATATTTCCAGCAATCAACTGGAAACGGTTTTCCTATTCTCGCCAATTTGTTTTCATTCGTCGAACGGTCTTAAATTAAGGAAAACCGAAATGTTTGTGGAACAGGCGCGAACCGAGCTCGTAAAATGAGACCTTTATAGGGCGGTTGGTAAAGTGTGCAGCCGTTGGTGTACTGTGGGTATAGTTTTTCCGAGGAGATTGAATGAAATTGAAACGTAGGTACGTAATGTGTATTATTCGGATTCGATGAAATTTGCTAATTTGGGAATAGGAGAATTCGAACCTTCAAATTTTTGAATATACAAAGTTTAAAATTTTCAAATATTTAAGGTTCCGAGAATTGAAAAATTTTATGTTTTTTAATTTTTAAACTTTCGAATTTTGAAATTTTCAAAACTTCAAATTTCCGGAAATTCTAACTTTCAAATACTCAAGATTCCAAATTTCCGGAAATTCCAACTTTCAAGCTTTCAAATATTCAAGATTTCAAATTTCCGGAAATTCTAACTTTCAAATACTCAAGATTCCAAATTTCCGGAAATTCCAACTTTCAACCTTTCAAATATCCAAGATTTCAAATTTCCGAAAATTCCAACCTTCAGATACTCAAAATTTCAAGAACTTCAGTATTTCAAATTGAAAAAATTCCAATTTTAGGGAATTCAAAAATTCGCAAATTGAATTTTTCACCGATTCCAAATGCGGAAACTATAAAATCCCAAACCAACCCTAAACGCTAACTCCCAAATTTCAAACTTCAAAATTACAGTACCACCAACGAGAACTTTCGTCTCCGTGTCTACTCTCTAATATCTCCCGTGGAGTCAATTTTAAGAACGTTCAGACCCAACAGCGTGCTCCAGCTGCAGAAAGAAGGGAACGTAATTACAAGTTTAGTTGGTTGGCCGGCGGAAGGTTTCGAGAGGCGAACGAAAACGATAGTTTCATGTTGGAGAATTAGCTCTCGGTCTGATAAAAGGTTGCTCGGTAACGAGTCCGAGACATTCACGTGGCCGTAGCCGCAGCCACGCGTCGCGATACGTTTCTCCGCGAGCGCAAACCTTTGCGTTCCTTCGGGAGAACGATACACGTGTTAGAAAGCGGCAAGGTTCGTTCTCCAGTAGGAAGATATATTTTCACAGCGAAGTCGACGAGGTCTCTAACAAGGTGACCGCAATCTAGCCAGTACAGCACCCAATTAGTGATGACCCGAACCGGCTCAATTCCAGTGGCCCTTAAACTATGAAATTAGTTCTCTCGGACTGAGCACGGTCTTTCCCTTGGAATCACCCTTTTCTATCTCTCTCTCTCTCTCTCTCTCTCTTTCTTTCTTTCTTTCTTTCTTTTTTTCTCTGTGTACGTTTTCCTACGAAAGCTTCACGGAAGCTGGAACAAAGATCTTGATGACGCTCTGGAGAGAGTCTTGCTTGCTGACTTACAAAGTAATTGTACGAATTGAAACAGACGCGAGTGTGGGAATCATTAAATTTGATGAATCTCGTGTTACTTGTATTCACACTTGCTGAGAATTATGTGTGACGTGCTTTGGTAAACAGGGGTAAATCGATTTTGACTTTGTTAAGTTTTTTTTGGGGTAGAAGTATGCTCTGTGCGACGGGACCAACCCCAATTTTCTAGAATAATTATTGACTTCATAATTCGTAATTAAAATCGTGTATTAATAACGAAACTAGGCAGTTTTTCGTTATATTAATAAAAATTACAAAATATCTTTGAAAAATTAGCAAGTCAACAATTTTTTTTAAAGAATTAGAAGGGGTGTCTTTTTTCACTATTTTCTTCTTCAGGATCTGTTAGGGTCTCGGAGTACACAATGAAGATTAAAACCTGAAATTCTTACTCTCTACTTATTCATCACCCACGCTCAATTTTCACCAAAACGTTGCACAAGCTACTCGTTAAATCCACTAAACTCTTCGTTTTCCCGAGTGTCTACGCTTAACCTAAAAAGAAAAAAGAAAAGAAAATACTCGCAGAACATAGGGGAAAATCAATATTACAACATGGCGTTTCATTCACTATTCCACGACTAAGCAGATAATTAATGGCGGCATAAAAACCACTATATATAACTGGAAAACCGTTTTCGCCCTCCTGGCCAGCGCGCACAAAGGGATTCCGGGATGAAAAGAGTCGTTGTTAGAACGATCGTCTCTGCGCGGGGGTGGGTTGTCTGAAGCGTGGAACTTTTGCGAATGTTCCGCATGGCCGTGGAAATTTCCGCGGTACAATGAAATCGGGGAAAGACGAAGAAAAGCGCGA